GCCTTCTTAAGATCCAATAGTGCAAAATGCAAATTCTTGCACTTTTTTGACTGGTCTTAAGATTTTAATCAGGTGTGCATATATAAAGTTGGTATTATTTAGCTAATATTCTAACTAGAACGTTATAAAATGGTTCTGTTAATATTAAAATAGAGAATATGTTTGGTTCTCAAGCTCTGATCTGCCTGTTCTCAAYGCTCATGTGTTCTGCAAGTGCAGTTTTAAAACAATGCTGCATTTATTCAGTACACATTTATGATCAACCAAAAGGTCAGGACTGAAATATTTTAGTACAAAAGCATGTGTTACACCCTTAACTATCAGATAGGACATTAAGTAAAAATGTAAGAAAATTATTKTCAAACCTGCACGTAATTAAACTTTCTGTTTTTATTAATATCCTTTTTTTTTTACTTTTTCCATCCATAATGCACACGCAGAAAAAAGAGGACATGCATTTTTTTATTTTGCATCTGAAAGATATGGATCCTTTAACCATATAATTTAAAGTCCTGCTAATCACTCATGACATAGATCTGAACCAAAACACCTTTATGCATTTTTATTTTAAAGTGTTATTCTCATGTAGTAGTTTGTGGTGACACACTGATCCAAAAGGTTACTAATATTGTAAATGATGACTTTATAAACTCAAACACAAGCTTGAATCTTCATCTTGAGCACATAATTTGGAAGCTTCATATTTTATGAAACTCTATAAATCTCATAAAACAAAGGATAGTTTCAAAACAGAAAAGTGTTGATAAGCTAGCAGATATTTTAAAATGTGATCTTTTTTGTTTCCCCCACACTAAATGTTATAATAAACTGTATTAGATAGCAGTGAGGTGTAATAAAGTGTTTATTTGTTGTGTTTTTCTCTGCACTAACTAGATGCATTCATATCTGAGAAACTTGCAGCTGTTTTCAACAAAGTCTGACCCAGACCTCTTCTGTAAGCCTCAGTTTTTAACCAACACCACAGACAAGTGAAACTTTGASAAATTAGCATTACAATGCGGTCACACACCTGGAGACAGCACTGACATTCATCAGGTGAGTCTTAATACGATCAGAGTCTCCTGTGAATATATTGATCCAAGTTTAAAACGAATGTAGTCAAAGGGACAAGTTTACCTAAAAGTCCTGTGCTATTTTCAAAGCTAACGGTGAAGTATTTGCTAGCCCGTCGTGTTTATAAACAATGCGGGCATCATCATCAGAGCGGCAGCCTGAGAGCTCCACCATCCGAGAGAATAAGAGTTGAAAACAAACTCAAGTTCGCGTTTAAACCGCGATCCTGTAAGACGGAGGTAAAGTTTTCCGATTAAAAAAGCAAAACACTCAAAATACAAGTTGCTTTTAGTATCGTGAGCTGCAGCTTCCCACCGGCTGCGCTGTTTGATGTGGGAGACTCAGTTTTGGAAAGAGGAGAGAGAGCAGAGAAACAGAAAAAGAGGGTAAGAAAGCCACAGAAATTCATCACCTCTGGCTCCGCAGCTAATTTACCTGGATTTCTCCAAGTCGAGGTTGAGTTTCTCCGTCGCTACGCTACGATAAATCTTCGGCGATTCAATAAAAAAAAGCTTAATTTTAAAAACAAATTGTCAATTCTRCTCGCTAAACAATCACTCCGCACATCCAAGATGGCTACCAGGAACACCTCCTCCTCCGATGCTCGGTCGGACAGGAGTCCCGCCCCTTTTTCCTCTGATTAGTCGACTGCTGCAAATTCTCCACTTTCATTGGTTGATGATGGCTGTCGGTCAAGGAAATCTGGAAGAACTACTTCCTGTGTAACTCGCGTTATGATTGGTCCGTTTGGAGAGGTCAAAGAGTAAAGTGAGTTCTGCCCCGCCCACAAACCGCAGAGACGTCTGGGAAATGAAGTTTAACATTGACTGGAGGCCAGAAAAATGGATAAATTACATTTTTAAAATGCAGTATTTTTATATTTACGTCTTATCATCATTACATTAAAATAAGTGTAAGCACTGTATAAACAAAACTTAGAATTTAGAATGCTTTCTTAGTCTATTGTAATTTTATTGTGATAAATCAATGCAAAAAGTCATTTATTAATCAGACTTTAAAATGTTCACTAAATTTATGCTGCCTTTTTTATGAACACAACAGTTCATGTTTTTATACATTATGCACTGGGGCACAACATTTAAAACATGTTTTTTAAAATTTGCTAAATTAATTTGCTTGCAAACCTTTATTTAAAATGTATTTTTTAAGGTTTCAGAAACACTTTTTTTTATTTAAGTTACTGCATATAAATAAAGACTGTTGAACACTGCAGTGTTGTGTTGTTCTGTTGAACTATACAACCACAATTTGTTGCGTTTAATAGCAGATTTTGCCTCTGCTAAAGAAACCTTTCATTTAATACAGATCAGAAATCATTTATAGAAATTTTAAATCCTGCAGAAGTAAAACAATCAGGGTTGATCTCCACCAATATGAGCTTTAAAGTGTCAGACAAGCCTCTCTTCTGTAAAATAGCCTTTTATATGAAGATTAAACAGTGAAATCTATATTTGTGATTCTGGCATCATCATTTAGTGGAACCATCAGACAAGATGGGATGATGGAGGCAAGATAAATAAAACTAACCTTCTGCAGCTCTGATTTATTTGTTGAAATTCATGTTCCAACAAGAAAGTTGCCAGGAAAACCCAGAAAAGCTGTGAGGAAAAGTAAAACCAGAATCTGAACGCAGTGGCTGTCGGCTCCCCTCCAACTCGTTTCAGTTTGAAAAGATCTGCCAAGAAAAACGAGGAGATAATTATTGGAGAGGAAATGTGTAATGAGCTGCAAAATGATTTCCAGTAAGACTTGAGGGTACGATAACTGCCTAAGTTACTTTCATCAAAAATAAGGGAAAGATTATGAGCATACGGTGTTTTGTTATAGATTTTGAATTAACCCACTTTTTATGTTGTCGTTTTTTGTTGTTTATACATGTAGATTGTTTAAAAATGACTTCAATTATTTTTTAGAGATAAGTCATCTAAAAAGGGTCTAAAAGCAAGTTATTTTTGATTCTACAGAATATTAGCATTTTATTTTAACAAAATATTAATGAACACATAGCCTTTGTCATAATATAAATTTTTGTTTTATGTTGAAATACAAAAAAAAAACATTTTGTCTTCATAAACCGTCAAAAGTTGAATATTTCCATATAAAATAGAAATATTGTCTGCAGTATTAGGTTTGGACACAAGAGGGCGCCAAAGAGCAAGGTGTTTATTCAATGTGGACCACTGATTTAGCGTTTAGATGTTGTTTTTTATTTTACTTTTACAATTTGAATTATCTTATTTTAAAATTGAATTAATAAGTGTCTCAGTAAGCCTGCCTAATGCTGATTATCATTTTTGCTGTTATTTTCAGCAGCTATTTTGACAAAAAAATTAAAAAAAAATCAAACTGACTTCAGACCTCACAAATCAGATTTTATTTTCTGAAACAATAACAGATTTTACATAAGTTATCTTCTTACACGGCATGACAATTTACATTTTCTGTTATTGCAATCAAAATGTAAAAATGGACTTTTTAACATGTGCAAAGTCAAGATTWTTTTTTTAATGTGCAAATGACTGTGGATACAAAGAAAAAACAATCTTGTTGATATCCACAAATTTAGTTAAACAAATAAACGAAGTGGCAAGCCCTTTTACCYGACACAACAAATCAAACTTCAACCTTTTTTAAATAAAAACTCAGATCCAGGGACGATAACAGTCAGATAATAAACAACTTCAGCTAATTAATCAGCAAAAAACATGGATCTGATCTAAACTATAACTTAAACAGAGCAGAGCTCACACTTTCACTGCACGACATAAAAAAAATAATAATCTTCCTCAGTTCCTGAACCTGTAGGAGATTGGGAGCAGCTTGTGGGTCTTCTTCATGCCCTGGACCTTGGCGTGCGTCTCGTCGTCCATGGTCTTGTAGCAGCGCCGGGCGTAATCCAGAAGCTTCTCCTTCGACGCCTCGAACTCTCCCACTTCTGTCATCTGCGGGAACAGCTTGAAGTGAGCAGAGCAGCCAGACAGGTCGACATTTACCTGTTTGTGTTGGTCTGTTAGCAAAATATTTCATCTTAAACGTGTTTTTGTTGCACAGCTTCTTGAGTCCAGAGCTCAGCGTTGGATTCAAACCTTCTCCGGGGCGACCAGCAGCAGCTCTGCGATGGGCGAGGTGGAGGCCATGGTGTTGCGGTCCACGCCGTGGATCTGGAAGGCTCGGGACATGCTCCTCACCCGCTGGTAGGTGGACAGGATCTTCTTATACCGAATCAAAACTCCGTCTGGGTCTTTCACTGGGAAAAAGGAAGCGTGAGGAAAAGTGACATAAAAAATAAGAGCATAATTCTGCTCCTCTTCAGTGCTTTCAGTTTAGTCTGCACCTTATAATCCACACAATAATCCAGTTAAAAGTGTTAAATAATCCCTTTTGAATTGTTATTTTTTTTCTTAATAAAGAAAATGTTATTCAGAGCAGAGTGGCTCATTCAGGTAACCATTACAGTTTTAAAACAAATATTTTTACAGTGTAATAATAATAATAATAATAATAATTATTATTATTATTATTATTATTATTATTAAAAATAAATGGAAATGTCTTCAACATCCCTAAATATTTATTGTATTTTTCAAGTAAGTAAAGTTAATTTACAAAGCACCTTTCATAGATATAAAATCACAGAGTTTCAGAATAAAAGTAAGAAAAAAATTTAAAAACATCACAAACATTCATACAAAGTATAAGTAAAGAACAGGAAGAAGAAAATTAACTTTTGTTTTGGTTCTGCTTTATTTTTACTTTTGTGATCATTTTAGCTCCCATCGTATTTTATTTTGTTGATTTTAGTTTTTTTTAGCTATCATTCTTTTTATGGTTCTTTAAGCTGCTTTTTGCTAATGTCAGCTGTTTTCTGTGTTTCAGCTCCTTTTAAGCTAAAGTAGCTCATTAGAGCTTTTTGTAGCTAATTTCACATTTTTTGGGCTAATTTTAGCTTCATTCATATTTTATTTTGTTGATTTAAGCTTTTTTAGCTATCACATTGATGTTTTCAGCTTTTCTTCTTTTTATGCTTCTTTCAGCTGCTTTTTGCAAATGTCAGCTGTATCCTGTGTTTTTAGCTACTTTTAAACTAATTTTAGCTTATTCAAGCTTTTTACAGCTAAATTCACATTTTGGTGATAACTTCAGTTACTGCTTAATTCAGTAAATGTGCCTTTTCTGTTTCTTTGTGCAAATTTCAGCTAAGTTTATAGCTTTTTTTTTGGCTAGTTTTACCTTTTAAGTCACTTTACAACAAATGGCTTCAGGGACAATCAGCTAAAATCTTTTAAAGTTAAGCATCAACAGTGTATTTTCACAGGAAATGCAGTTTCTTTAGTTATTTGAGGTTCTGTTTTTTGAGCTGTTACCTCTCTGTCTCTCTCTGCCATGTGTGATCCTGAAGATCCTCCTCATCTTCACCCTGGGCTCTCCGCCTGCTCGCCCCTTGCCCTTCTTCTTTAACACCTTGTCCACAGAAGAGTCATCATCGTTCTCCTCCTCCTCCTCCTCTCCTTCCTCCTCCTCCTCCTCCTCCACGTACTCATCCTCGGTGTAGTATTTGCCCTCTTCAACGTGAAACTCCTGCTTGACTGCAGCCGACAGGACTCATCATAAAAACTAGCAGGAAATCTACTGAAAGAGACGTTTTCCCCGAGCGTCCTCACCTGGGACCGCGATGTTACGGCGAGACCGGGGTCCTGAGCCCTGGATGCGTTTGAGGGTCATCCCGGACCTGGTGGTCATKGGGGAAGGAGGGGACGGAGAGCCGGCAGGCTGGATCTTCACACCACGCTGGGCGTCTCCGCAAAACTCACCCACTGAATTAAAAAAAAAAAAATCAGAAATTCCAAACAGCGTCACATTTCCCCCGCTTCGGATGTTATCATCCATGAAATGGACGTTATTAGGCGTTATCAGTCCCCTAGAATGGCTTCAGAATGTCCCGCCTGTGCCRGTTAGCAGGTTACCCGTCCCCTAGAAWGGCATCCGATTGTCATCTGGTTAGTATGAGGCATAAAAAAATCTGGTTAATATGAGGCTTAAAGCCACCAAGGTTAACCTTAGAGCAGATGACATGGTTAGCACTAACCTCCRACAAAGGTATTTTGTGGTCTCGCAATAGGGCAATGGGTAAAGTCAGACCAGAGAGTGGGAGACCAGGGTTTGACTCCAACATGGACACAAAAAATTTATTACAATATCTTTTGGTTATTTACACATTCATTGTCATTAATATATTAACTCACTAGGGGGCACTGTCGGGACAGTCTGAAGCCTAGAAGGCACAGTAGGGACCCTCTGAAGCCATTGTATGGGACTGATAACGCCTAATAATGTTCATTTCACGGACTGATAACATCAGAATCCCCTGCACGTTTGAAGTGAAAACTTCTTTTTTTTACCATCTGGATTCCTCATGCTGACGACGAAGCGGTCCAGCTGGCAGCGCAGGAAGTTCCTCTCCTCCTCCAGTTCCTCGATGCGCTTCTGCAGCCAGGCGTTCTTCTCCAGGGAAACATACAGGTGAGTCCGCAGGTTCGAAACCAGGATGAAGGGGCTGTACTGAGGATGAGGAGGCTCCTGCACCACTTGATCTGGATGTGGAGGAAGAGCAAAGAGGACAGAGACACGCAGGGWATCAGTTCAAACACTTTTCATCTCTAAGAAGACGGTGAAACCATCAAAGCAGAAGGATTCCCAGGTTCGTGAACAGGAAGCCTGCAGAACATTCACAACACAACAGAATCACCCTTTTCAGTAACTGATACATAATAAACAGGATCTCGTGTGGTTGGAACCCACCTTCCACCATCTGCTGGCCGTGGTTCAGGAGATAGTCAGGTGGGCGCTCCGAGTGGTCTTCMAGGGGAAAAGAGACCTCATACGCATCCATATACAAAGGCCCACCACCTCGACCATCTCCTGCTGCTGCTGACGATGATGATGACGATTGGGGCATGTAGTGCTCTGACACGTGCAAAAACACAGCAAACAGAAGAATAATCCAACACCGCTGGTTCAGGGAAACACACGGTCTTGCAGTAAGAAGTCTGCAGGTTTAAACTGCGGCCGTTCTCCATGGAGTTTATGGGATTTCCTCCCAAAGACCTAAAACATACATGTTATTAAGCAACTCTGAACTGGTAGTTTGTCTTTGTGTGGCCCTGGGTATCCTGCCTCACAACCAATGGGTGCTGGATATACAGGCATCGAATGACTGAAGACAAACAAATACGTTTAGATTAAGTTGAGATGGATGGATGGAGTTGCAGGAAATTTTCATGAATGTCAGATGCATTTGGAACCAATCATCTACTAATTAAATTGACCAGGTTTCATTTACAATTTGTGATTTATTGCCTTTAATGTGTTTCAAATGAAGTTAAATGTACATTAATATACATTTGAACAAGTTGAATGTAAAAATTCCCAAGTTATCTAAATTCAAATTTCCATTGGAAGTCTATTTGCATAAAGAAATGCATCATAAAATATCAATAAAAAGCACATACGTACGYACTGTATATGTACCATTAAATACTTGGGAACATAAATATACCTTGCAGGCCCTCAGAAAGTACAAATATGGACACAGTACAAATATGGATCAGGACACAAACATGTACTCCTACTGTACCCGTTTTTGATAGCATAGTGTAAATATACTCATTTATATACATATCATAGATTAAAACATGACAGTATAAATATATATAAGCATCAGAAAAAAAAGCTTCAACATGCACATATACCCCAAATCAAGAACATTATCTGCTTAAATTACCCCTTTGAAAATGCTTAAAACTCTTAATTTGAGAAACTATTTTCTTTTGTCAAACCCTTCCTGAAATATGGAAGCCCATTTCCGCCACCCTGATAAAAAATAAAACTTGCATCTCATAATTATGAGATAGCCAAGTCATAATTATGAGATAGCCAAGTCATAATTATGAGATACTATCTCATAAGTCATAATTATGAGATAGCCAAGTCATAATTATGAGATAGCCAAGTCATAATTATGAGATAGCCAAGTCATAATTATGAGATAGCCAAGTCATAATTATGAGATACTATGAGATAGCCAAGTCATAATTATGAGATAGCCAAGACATAATTATGAGATACTATCAAGTCATAATTATGAGATACTATCAAGTCATAATTATGAGATACTATCTCATAATTATGGGATAGCCAAGACATAATTATGAGATACTATCTAGTCATAATTATGAGATAGCCAAGTCCTAATTATGAGATACTATCAAGACATAATTATGATACTATCTCATAATTATGAGATAGCCAAGACATAATTATGAGATACTATCTCATAATTATGAGATAGCCAAGACGTAATTATGGGATAGCCAAGACATAATTATGAGATACTATCAAGACATAATTATGATACTATCTCATAATTATGAGATAGCTAAGTCCTAATTATGAGATACTATCTCATAATTATGAGATAGCCAAGTCATCTCATAATTATGAGATAGCCAAGTCATCTCATAATTATGAGATAGCCAAGTCATC